AACCAGTTCTGCCAACCACAAATTTCACTCCGAATGGCATAGTGAAGTGATGCCACCTGGAAGGCTGGCCACAGATCTAGGAGTCTAGGTTTTCTGTTAAATATTGGGATAAAGGGCAAGTTTTTTAAGAATGGATTAAAGTTCAAAGAAACACTTTACAAACAATTTGTGATAGACATTGTGTGCCAGGATCAGAGTGCCTGTGAGCTGAGTATGATTGTTTTTATTCCATGTAGATAAGCTCTTTCTCTTTAGGGTTGAATAGTATGATGAAGAAGGAGAAAGAGGAGGAGGTGTAGACTAGAAGAAATAGAAACAAAAAAACCTGAAACTTATTAGTGCATTTACTTAATTATCATTTCACACAGGTATTTTGCACAGAATGAGGCATGAAATAACACAGGAAAAATATTACATGGATCAAGTGCTGCCTGGAAATGTTCCTTATGCCCTGCTGTCAGGGCTGAAATGATGACAAGATGAATGAGAAGAACATGTGTTCTACCACAGACCGGAATTTGTATTATTTAGATTTTTTTAAAATAAATGAATAAAAGTAGAATTACTTTTGAGAAGTTATAAGAATAATGACAACTAACTTGCTGTTGAACTTGCTGACCGAAAGGTCACAGGCTCAAATCCAAGAAGGGGGGTGAGCTCCTGCTGTTAGTCCCAGCTTCTGCCAACCTAGCAGTTTGAAAACATGTAAATGTGAGTAGATCAATAGGTACCACTCCAGTGGGAAGGTAACAGCACTCCATGCAGTCATGACAGCCACATGACCTAGGCCAATGCCAGGACAATGCCGTCTCTTTGGCTTAGAAATGGAGATAAGCACCAACCCCCAGAGTCAGACAGAGTTGGACATAACTGGACTTAATGTCAGGGGAAAACCTTTACCTTTATCTACCTTGCTTTGGGGAGCTCAGAGCTGTAATTGCAACTAACTACCTCTTAAAAAGAATTGTGAACTGGCCAACTATTATTGGGTTTCCTTCAAAGATCTTTCCTGCAATTATATCTTCACCTAGAATTTAGTGCCAACCTGAGTCAATCTGATTTTATTGCAAATGGCAATTCACTGGTGCCAAAGCCACCTTGTAAATAAGATGAGTCATCTTAGTTGTGCATCCTGGATAAATATCTTTAAATAACCACTCTGCTGTGCAAACATCTTCAAAAATGCAATTAAACATAAGACTTATTCTGCATGGTGTTTTTTTAAAAAACACAAAAGCGCACCGAAGCCAAGGATTTTCAAATGAAGTTTTCCTCTGTGCACGGTACCCTCAAGGTCATACTGTGGTGACTTCATTTTTCATAGTCAAAAGAATGATTTAGTAATAATGGTGGTAGCGGACAATAGCATCCGGTGCTTTCAGTATAATGATATTCAGCGTTGCGTAGGATAATGTATGGGTTATTCTTATTCATGTTCCTTGTTGCAGCCACATAGAGTGGATTCATTTATTAGAAAGTTTCTTGCATCTCATTAAATGTGTTGTGAAGGTGGAAAAGAAAAGTATAAAGTTTTAAAAGAGGTGTTCACATTTGTTTTGGGGGGGTTTGTCAAAAAAGGTATAAAAGTTGGACTAATTTTATTGTCGAAGGCTTTCATGGCCGGAATCACTGGGTTCTTAATATTAGTGTACCACATTGCAGGCATCCTCAGAGGTTGTGAGGTCTGTTGGAAACTAGGAAAATGGGGTTTATATACCTGGGGAATGTCCAGGGTGGGACATTTTGTCTGTTTGAGGAAGGTGTGACTATTTCAATTGGCCACCTTGATTAGCATTTAATGGCCTAGCAGTTTTCAAGGTCTGGCTTCTTACTGCCTGGGTGATACCTCTGAGGATGCCTACCATAGATGTAGGCGCAACATCAGGAGAGAATGCTACTGGAACATGGCCATACAACTTGGAAAACTCACAATGGCCCAATTTTCTTTCTGTTGGACCAAGACAGGTCACAGTGTAGTAGTAGCACAGCTGTTGTGCCAACAGCTTGCTCTGGCATTTTTCAGGAGAGTGGCACAGGAATATGGGCACAGGGATTCGGAGCAATGGAATGGCCTGGAAATTTTTAAAGCAGAAGTGGGTAACTGCCCATCTGATATTTTGGTCAACTATTCCCTTTAGCCCTAGCCAGTATAGTGAATTGTGAGGATTGTGGGAGTCCAAAAATGTCTAGAGACATAGTTGCCCAATCCTGCTTTAAAATGTTTGTGCATCTGCCACCATGGATCAGCCAACACAATCTGGATTATACTGTGTTACCATTGGTAAGCAGTTTGCAGAAATGGAATCTGAGCAGGTTATTCCAGAAAGGGACACAGGGAATACGTAGGAGGCAATTGTCCAACCATCTCCCAGGTTTAATGAAATTAAACATAAGCCATTATTTTAAGATGAGAGATTTTCAAAATATTAAAGATGCCAAGTAATATTTCTGGAACCCCCCCCCCTTTTTTTTTTCATAGATGGAGACATATTTGATATTGGGTGACAAATTCCATTATTCTTCACTTTGCCTATGAAGGCTAGTGCTAAGGGAGTCCAACACAATTTTGAAATCCACGTGTTGGCCATCATGCTTTTACTCTTTTCTGCTGTAATGTAAAAAATGTTCACACGAGAATCAGGTGCTTGAACTTCTATTCTGCCATAGAAATACTGGAAGCTATTTTATATAAGGCTATCTCATCCAATAGTGTTGACCCTGACTGATAGTGGCTCTCTGGGCTGTCATGCAGGTTCATCAGCTGAGTCTTCATGTCATCTGCTAGCTGGTTAAGACTGTGAAAACCTGTCAGTTTCATTTTCATTGCATTTGTCAGAATCCCACTGGCTTTCCCTTCTTATCTCCGTCCTGTATTGAGTTGTAAGATTACACACACACACACACACACACACACACTCTTCCTGCATGGGGCTAGTATGTATTTCTGGTATACATTTTGCTATTTTTATGCATTGTCTGATGTATATTTGCATCAATTGTTTAAATACATTCAGACTCCAGCAGGTATATGTGGTGTTGTTAATATTTTGTCTTTGGTGAAACGCATAGTACATCTCCAATGTGAACCAAACACATTCTTTACCATCTCTGCACTTCATCATATTTCCCATTTCTTTGTATTATAATGAAAGACAGACAATGAAGAAATCTGATACGAAGAAAACCAACTCATTTGAAATGTGGACTGGCAAAGAATTCCACAGATAATTTGGACTGCTAAAAAGAGAAATCAGTGAGTCCTAGAGAAAATCTCTTTAGAAGTCAAGGTGATTGAAGTGGAAACAGTTGTCCTTTGGACAGCTCATGAGAAGACATGTTTCATTAGCAAAGACAATAATGCTGGGTAAGGTATAAGGCTGTAGGGTATGAGGAAGACCTATTATTATTATTATTATTATTATTATTATTATTATTATTATCTCGGACGGATAGATTCAATCAAAGAAGCCATGGTCCTCAGTCTGCAGGACCTGGTGATAACAGGATGACATGGAGGTCTCTGATCCATAGGGTTACCATAAGTTGGTCAACTTGATAGCAGTTCATAACAAAATCAGTTCCTATAACTCTTAGTACATGAGAGTGTTCTAATATTTGTATCAATTGTGCATGATACAGCATAATCCAGAAAGGTTCAGCACTATTAAACCCAATTTGTTTCAGTAAGATATTTTTAAACATGTAGAACTTATTCTTTTAAATAAATTGGACTTTAAAATATATAATTTTGGACTGAAACTTGTGTGTGCAAATATGGCTCAAGCCAATGAACTGCAGTCATTAAATCATTTATGATTAACCCCACTGAAACCAGGCCAATTGCCATGCAAAATTACCACTCACTATGTGGATATCGTATTTAAGGAAATACTGGGTGTCTCAGAAAAATGGCATGAACATTGCTGACACCCTCAAAAATAACAAGAATAGAAATTACCATGGAAGGATAAAAGAGAGAGAAAATTCAATTTTTAAATCTAGTTGTGTTATGTTTGAAAAAATCCACCTATAAAATAGATTACGTTCTTCTTTTACTTCTTTTACTAGCTAGAAAATGTTCAAGTTGTAGTAGCTATGAAACTATGTTCAAGTTGTAGTAGAAAGCTAAAATGTCACAGTTGTAGTAGAAAGCTTAATTGCTACACAAAGAACTTTAAAGCTTTGTCTTGATTTGAGTGCGGGACTCTCATTTTAGCATGAGATACTAAAGAGGAAAGACTGGACAGTCTACGAGAAATTATCTCCTTAGGAACACTGTTTGGGAAGAAGACATCTGATCTAACAAGCTGTCAACAGAAAAGTTGTAAAAAATGTTAGTACAAAGGGTGGGGAGAGTGCCCTCTGTAACTGGTTGTAAATTTCTTTTTGTGTGTAATATGGTAAACACATATTAAACATTTGCAGTTAGGCTTCGGTTAGCACTTGGATGGAAGACCATGCATAGGTATTCATTGGTGGTCTCCCCTATATGTAGCTACTATAGACTATATTTCAGAGGAAAGAAATGGGAAAAACTACCTCTGAGTATTCTTTGTCTAAGAAAATTCTATGAAATCCATGGGGTCACCATAAGTCGACACCTAACTTGAAGGCAGAAAAACACGCAATCTATGTTTCATTGTATTTTTTTCAGCCACATAATGAAGGATTTTCATAACAAAAATTACTTCACTTTTCTTTCCCCTTTTTTCACCTCTATGCCATTTGGGAAGAGAGCAATCTCCATTTATAAAGTCACCAACCTGGCAAGCGAAAGCTGATAATATACGTTTTTCATTCCCTCTCCTTTTCAAAAGGCCAACTGGCTTTTTTAAACAACACTCTCAGAACAGTGATGTAATGTGAGCCTATTAATAGCGACTGCAAACAAACATTTAATTTGACTTTCGAATGTCTTGGCTAAGCAGCACATGCCAGAGTGGAAATCTAGCGAGAAAATGCCACTTCAGCACTCTGGAAGAAATATTGGGACAAGGTACCTGCATGACAATAAGAAGGTCAAACACTAAGATGAAGGAAGCCAGAAAGGCTCTGGAAACCTCATCACTTGGCAGGAATCCACGATTCAGCTTGTCCCAGCTGATCCAGTCAGTTGTGATGACAAGAACAACCACCGAGGTCAAAGTAAACAGAACAGTCCTGGAAAAGGAAAAGCAGAAAAAAGGTAATCAAATCACACAGTGGAGGTAGGGGGTGAGAAGAGAATTATAAGGTCTCTCTTATTGTTTTGTGCCTTCACGTAATTTCTGATTTATGGTGACCCTAAGACCCTCTCATAGGGTTTTCTTGGTAAGATTTATTCTGAAGGAGTTTGACTTTGTCTCCTCTGTGAACAGGAGAGTGTGCAAATCTACACAGAGGGTTCCTATGTCTGATTGAAACCTTGATCTCACAGAGTCTTAGGGTTCATCTGCTTTGTATAATTAATCCAGTTCAACACCCCTTTAAAACTGTCATGATTCAATGGTAAGAAATCCTGGGAGTTGTAGTTGAGAGAAGCACCACCCACCACTCATCCCATGATCCTATAGTATCAAGCCATGGCAATTAAAGTGGTGTCAAAGTGCATTAATTTTGCAGTGTAGATGCATTCTACAACACCATAATGATTTTGTAGAATAGATGTTTGGAACTGATATTATCTGTCTTCAAGTCAATGTTGACTTATAATAGACATATAACAGAGTTGTTGTTGTTGTTTTTTTTGCATGATTTATTCGGAGGAAGTTTGTCATTCTTTTCCTCTAAAGCAGAGAAAGTATGGCTTCCCTAAAAGCACCCAGTGGGTTTCATGGCCTAGAGAATATTCAATTTATGGTCTCCCAGAATCCTACCAACATTCAAACTACTATATTGTACATCCTGTAATAGGAAGGGGAGATTTGTGGACCTCAAGAGTTTGATTGAGTGCATTTCCCCTTTCTTTCTTTCTTTACTGTACTTATACCCCACCTTTCTTACTCCAAAGTGGTTTACAAACTGTGGCAATAATTCATTGCCATATCCAGATAATAACAGTATCAATAGAACACAATATTATAAAACTGTAAAACAAAAACACATACATATCAATTAAAATAGTCTTTAAAGTGGTTAAAACATTAAAATATTTCAGCCCCAGCCTAGGAGAAAAATACAGTTTTCATTTGATACTTTTACACATTCAAAACATTTCTGAAATAAATTCTTCTAAAATGGAGGGATCCTGTTGCTGGACTAGATTTCCTATTAACATTCTTTCTCTCCCTCTTGGTTTATCCCCCATCTTGCCTCAGTTGCTCCTTCGCCAGAACAGTCTTTGGACAGCAAGCATGACAGCACTTTGGATCGGACTGGGATTGGCTATATGAATTGTTGACAATGTTTCAATGGGATTTTAATCTGTTTTACATTGATGTTACATTCACTGTTTTAAATTGATGTTTTATTTGTTATAGTGTTTTATCTTGTGGCATAGAACTGTTGCCGGTGTAAGCCTGAGTCCCCCTTTGGGGATTGAGAAGAGTGGGTCAGAAATGTTCAAAATATAAATAAATAAATAAATACTATACTTTTGTAAAGCCACTGGGTGAGGTGAGAGAGAGATAACATGCCCCAAACAGTTTTTTAAAAATATATTCAGCCAGCAGTTGAATGAATTCATGAGTGTGGAATTCATTTGTACAGAAGGCCAACTATACCTTTTAATAGTATTTCAGTCTTAATTGTGTATATTTTAACAATATGTTTTGATCTTAATTTTGTGCCCTTTTAAAGGTTGCCTTGAGTCCAGGTCTGGGGAAAAGTGGGATATAGGTAAATAATAGATAGAGGTGGATGAAAAATCCAGGATTCCACAGAAAGGAACCAAGAAAGTTAAAATGGAACATTTCTATAATTATGCAATATGGCTACCTTCTCAAAAGGCTTTTGCTCAGAATTGTACTTGAACAGGAGAATGCCTTTGTTCACCTGAGGTTGTGTATCGTCACAAGAAGCAGGAACAGCACCTTTATGATGAGGATATGAAGGGGATTTTAAGATCTCCCTAGCCATGTTGCTGGGCTGCAGTTACTTATAGTTTGTGGTCTCGGGACAGAACACTTCACTGTTTTGGGGTCTTCCTGATTAGACCATGACTTGTCCCTAGCTATAACTTCTATAACACAACCACTGGAAATTTCGGTAATATGAAGTAATACCTAGATGGCTTCAAATTCTACATATATGATCTATGGTGAGATGAATGATGGATTGGAGCAACTCAGGAGCAAGGATGTGCAAAAGAACTCTGCCAGCCGGTCATGTGGACCTCAGCAGGAAACAGGTTCTCTTTCACAGCTATAATACTCTGAACTTCTTTATAATCACCAGCCAGAAGTTAAAAAGTATGTTATGTATGTCTTTGTAATCTCAACTAATGACAAGATTCAACAAACTTCTTAAAGTATAGTCTTTTAAAACCCTACTATAAAAGTATTTTCTCTAATATTAATGAATGATAAACATACTCATTAAGAAAAACCTACTTGCAGTAAGACATTTCCTAACAAATGAAACCCACATTTATTTGAAAAGCATAATTTAGCCAATTCATATCACTTTGGCGCACAACCATTAAATTGCCTGCTCTGGGCTGTCTTTGCATATTAGCTCCGAATCTCCCTTCCAAATGCACTTCAGAAATGTTTCAGACAGTGGAAGGGAAAACAATAATTCTGGATGTCAGTGCACATGTGCTATTACAAGGAAGATAAATGTGTGGGCATATGCGTAAATAGCAAATAAGCAGTCAATATTTGTTCTGGTTTCCAGTTGGAGCTCTCAGACTTGTTCCAAGGCATTTTCTTTCTTCATTCAGGGGGAAAATGGACAGAATGTGAAATATTTTTTCTCTAGGGTCTGAAAAGATGACCAGCATCCAATCCACTTTGCAATCAACATGCTTAAGAATGTATACAAACACAGCTGCTGGCAAAGAAATAAAGCAGACAGGAGTAAAGGCATGGATGGCTAGTGTCTGAAGTTTTGATTCTCAGTTGTTGGACTAGAGTTTCTTGAACTCTTTCATTAGTAGGGCAAATTAATGTCATCATCCATCTCCCTAAAATCTCTTTGAATCACTTGCAATCAGCAGGGATGGATGTGACATAAATTTTATAAAATGTACAATAGGCCTTCCATTTTCACAGAGGAAAAACTGCAATATAAGAGCATATCTCTCTAGATCTTCCAAGGAGACCATGTGGATACCTTCCACTGGAAAAATGGTTCCCAACCAGTGGTCCCGAAGAATGAAAATATGGTCTGCGGCTTCACCATTACTAGACCGGTGCCTTAAAACCATGCAGCAATGAAAGTGACTAGTCTTCTGAAACCGTCTTATAGTGCCGAGGCAACGAGGATGTCAAGTGGGGAGACTCTGACTTTTCACAAAAGATTATTATTACCACATCAGCTCTAGATTACTAAATATGGTTTTCTGTGGGTGAGCAGATCATGACTACTGGATGGCATATCTTCTGTATCAGAAACTAGAGCTGATGTGGTCTATCCAATGCAATTTTCTGAATCAGCACCCCATCAATTTTAAATGCAGTTGGATACAAACTGCATTTAAAATTGACCAAAAACAGATTCGTAACTCTTTTGGTACTAATGTTGGAGAGTGGTCCCTGGTCAAAGTTGTCCCTGGTCAAAAAAAAGGTTGGGAACCACTGCACTTGTAGGTAGCCATAGAGTTGTGTTGGAAGATCTAGAGCAGGGGTCCACAAACTTTTTAAACAGAGGGCCAGATCACAATCCCTCAAACTGTTGGRGGGCCGGATTATAATTCGAAAAAATCCTGCACACTGCAATATCTTATTTGTATTGCAAAAAACATTTTAAAACAATAAAATAATTAAAATGAACAACAATTTTAACAAATATAAACTTATTAGTATTTCAATGGAAAGTGTGGCCCTGCTTTTGGCTGATGAGATAGGATTGTTGTTATTGTGTGCTTTCCAGTAGTTTCATACTTAGGTTGACCCAGAGTGAGGGCCYGGTAAATGACCTTGGAGGGCCGCATCTGGCCCCCGGGCCTTAGTTTGAGGACCCCTGATCTAGAGATTCCTAAAAAATCCCAGTGTAATCAAATTCAWGAAAAATCCGACCCATAAAAGTTGACCTTCCACTTGCAAATGTGGAAGGTCAATTATATAGTTAAAAAGCTGTCCCTGTTGTAGTGCAAAGGGGTTTTATTGGGGGGGGGGGAGTTTCCTGAATAGGTCAATAAGACCTGTTTGCTTACAAAAGACCTATTCCTGATTGGGATGAAAACTGACAGAACTAGCTTGATGCTCTAGGTCATATAGCAGATCACATATTTGGACACTCCTTGGGGGTGCAGCTATGATACTTCCCATGGGAAAACTTAAACTAGTGTGTTGAACTAATGGCTCCATTCTTGGAAGGCAGCTATACTATCCTGGTTTTTAATAGCAGCCCCTTCCATAGATCCTTTAGATTAGAGCTTCTTAAACCTTTTCTATTTGTGATCCCTTTTGTCCTGAGAAAAATTTACATGATCCTGGATATATTAATATACAAAAAGTGTACAAAATCAAACATTTACTGATAACACTGGGCAACACATATTTTGGTGCTTCAGATGTTATCTCTTTTTCTATATATATTTGACCATCTGGTTCCAAAAATAACACCAGTTTTCCCCTATCAGCTCTAGCTTTTGAGATGTAGAACATATGCCATATACCAGTCTTCTGCTGGTTGCCCTTAGAAAATCAAATCTAAGAAACTAGGGTTGATGCAGTCTATCCAATGCAATTTTCTGCACCAGTGCCTCAAATAATTCAAGGAACAGATCTAAAAAAGACACCAAAATGGTTGCTATTGTTATATAATCTTTTCTGGGTGTTATAGGAGCTATCAAAATCCTGAGCTCTATTCCCAATGTAGGTTAACACCTATATTGTTCCTATTAACACCTTGAAGTTGGTGCTAATAGTTCCCATTAACACCTGTAAGTGGCAGTGGCAGTTGTCATCAAAACTAAGAGAGAGTCAACGCTCACCACACAACAGTGAAATTGCTGGTTGTACCTGAATTAAGGAAAAGTAATCTAAACCCTACAGTGCAACATCATGGATGACAAT